CTGCTAAAAACAAGCTCAGTGGCCGCGGACCAAAGGAGATGTATCTCGAAGAAAATACAATCGAAACGCGCGGATCAATTCAAGAGTGATAGGATTAGCCCGACCGCATAGCAAAGAAAGAGAATGCACAACAAGACGTGGTACCGCACAAAAAAGAACCAAAACATGAAATTATCTTTTCCCAACCAACTCGAAGCAAATGCAACCTGAAAACCACAAAAACCTGAAACTATGACAATCGGAGATCACAAAATGCCACACAAACGAGTTCTTGAATAAAATTTGACGCTTTTTCCCCAATGAAAAACATGTCAGTCTTGATTACCCCACTGGCAACAAAACGTTACATATACATAAGTCAAGTCCATCCACTAGTCTTGAGAATGCAGATTGACGCTTGAGTACACTCACTCGTCCAACGCTACAGGCTCAACTCGAAGAACTGACGTTCTTCGAGTTTTTGTCGACTCTATATCCTATGTGAAGAGTAACCCTAACCGGACTGCTATATTTAGTATATACAAAAATACATGCCATTAAAAATAAAATATCACAAATATATTCAATATTTTATGATTGAATATTGATGAGATTTGATCTACATATCACTTCTAGATTTATCAATAATCTTGATTTTTTGATATTTAATATTCATTGTCAAGTTAACTATCTTAGAATATTTTTAGAATAAAACAATTCATTGATATATTTGTGTTCTATACATCATGTGTTGTGATGTTACAACCATTATTGTTATTTTATTGAATGTCTATGCATATTTTGGGAAGGCTCATCAAATAACATCCATTTGTTTTGAACTGCATAAAAAATCATAATTCAAACATATAATGACATTAATAATAACTTTGATAAATGTTTAGCTAAACATTAGCTAAACTAATCTGAACTAAAATTTGAAATTGAATGGGTTAGTCATCATAAGCTAATTAGAATATATCATATATATCACAGTTTATATATGTATTGCACAGTAGAGAGATGTTTTGCCTGCAACATCTATGTAAGCAGGTTTGAAGAAGGTATGAGTTTTTATTTGTGGGTTCTTATTCAACATAGTCGTTGTAAACGACGAAAACCTATGTTGGATGTAGCTGGTTAGTTATCATGTGATTAATGGTATTCTTAAATACAGGTACACTATTGCTTTGTCCGTGGGACACGGAATTCGGTTCGCGAGAAAAGAGTTCACTTTCGGTTTCGAGTAAGGGACCGTTGATAGCTGACGCAAGGATTGCAGCTGTTTACTAATTGAGCCTAGAAACTAATTATATTTCTTGATTCAGAAATATAATTAGTTTAATTTGAACATGAAGATTCAAATATTTAGCTAGCTCTACATAGGCCACAACATTCACTAGATTTACATCAAGGTTCAAAGAGCGTGAAGAATGGATGTTGATATGTAATATAGTTATGATGATTATGCGTATTTATATTGCAAGTATGGTAGTTGAAAATGTTTTAAGAGTCATGGCTTTGAGAAAAAACTTCAAGATTTGATTAAATAAATAATTTGACTGAATCAAGTAAAAAATTTCAAAAAGGATATGATAATAAATGAAATTTATAGAGAATGCTAGATGTGAAAGAAATTTGTCCAATTAGCACATACTAACATTGAAATGTGTCATAGATTACTTCATGTAGATTTGATCTAATCGGTTTTATCAATAGTAGCACTTGTTCCTTAGTTAAAAATTTGGAAATGAATGATGAAATGATATTGAATGACGAGATCAAGGAGTATGATCTTAACTGTTGACAAACATATGCATGCTTCATGATCAGAAAAAACAACGTATGAAAACAGTGTTTAATATGAAAAGCATTATTTCACATAAGTCTGAAATAGTTTGCGTACTGAATTCTCATCCAGAAAATATTATAAAATATCAACATCACCAATGAGTTGAACATATATAAATAATTAAATGTCTAACACAAGCATCGCCTTTTATTTTTTGTTGGACTTTAATGTGTAGAATATATTTCTTTCTCTTTATAAAACATTACAACTCTTACTCAAATATTGTAATTGATGCGCTGAATTCAACCCTCATCTAAATGAGGAGTTTTAGGTATATACGTATAATCTTGTTCAAGGCCCCAATCCAAACCCTCGTCTCAATGAAGCAATGGGTTGACGTCGAAACTCCTTGGCACTTCATATATTCAAATTAAAAAAATCAATACATGTATTGTCACTTTAGATATCACATCCTTTGATTGGCAATGTGTTTTTGGTAACATTGCAAGTCATCGATAGTCGCCTTACGATGAAGTATCCGAAATATGCAGCTTGAAACGCATCAACCTGAGACCACAAATCCTGCCTTGCTCATGAATCAACTATAAGGAAAAGTGATGGCCATACCTTTTCTCCGAGCTGTTGTCACTGCATTTGCTGACAATGATAACTAAAGGCCATATACATAATATGTAATGCTTCATGGCTGAAACAGGAAAGCCCACAATCATCATCTAAGTTGTAGAAAAAGGAACAGAAATGAAGAAGAAGTCATGACAAGACGGAATTGAAGCTTGAAATATACGTATACTACAGAAAGAGTCTGAAGGGTGTACAATGCCCATTGTCAAGTCGTCTGACTGACTGGAATTGCTGGACTGACTGAGCCGCGTCGGCTGAAGTCTTCTCACATGTACGTTGTGGGCATGGGCTGCTTACAATGTGCAGCAGCGAGCGAGGATCACAAGGTGAGTGCGACAAGCTCATGTCGTACCAGACAGCAGCACGGGGCACATTCACATTCTTCCTGCGTCCGGCCGACCTAAACCCGATGGGAAGTAGCATGCAATCTTATAGCCATCGTGCTCGCTTTTTCAACGAGATTCGAAAGTCGTTCCGAGTTGACAGACAGCGTTCGGTTTGGATGTTGGGTCTCAGGGTGTCCATGTTGGATCTGAGTGCTGCAATCCTCTGAACCTAGACATATGTCGAGATGTCATTCTGAGCGTCACCAGGGATGCGAGGGATGAGATGGAGCTGGTGAATGCTGATCCCGGATGCCATCATTCGCAGTCAGCAGATTCAGTAGACGAGGGGGGTCCAAAACTTGTAGGTCAGATTGACTTGGAAAGATCCACGCCCCGTAGGAATGGAGGTCCAGAGAGGAACACACGGAATGCGCCAAGACCTGGGGAAGACCGACACGGGTAATTGCAAGGTCAGGGTGACATTCCGTGAGGTTTCCATTCCGAGTAGCGCTAGAGCGCTAGCTGCTACTTCGTCCTTCAGGTCTAGCCTAGGAGAGTGAGTGAATCTTCTGTCAGTGAGTAGCCTCCTTGCATCATAGAAATAGACATGCAACATGAATTCGACGTTTGTGTGACCGAAATGAACTTTAGCTCAGGCGATCTGCATTTGCAAACAAGAAAGGTGCTCGTTTTGGATTCCGAGTATACTTGAAGCTACACCGGAACTGAAGAGGTTTGAGATTGTTCACATGAGGTAAACTCAAAAGACCTTCTAACGTCGCCCAGAGATGTCAGCTCGTTCACCGAGTGAGATAGAAACCAGAAAAAATCCGTCGCATCACATTATTCAGAAGAGAAAGCGTTCTCTCAATCCATGCATCGAATAGAGCTTCGCACGCCAGAAACACTTGATTCGATTCCAACAAAACACATATGTGAGCTTTTCGAAGTGGGACCCATATCGGATCGAGAAGATCGCGAGATTCGTCTCTGAGCCACAGGTTCCGCCCGCAGCGTGCGTGCAGAATCACTGCGTGGTGGAAGGGTCCTCGAGTGTGGGTTCCAAGGCCTGCTTTTGGTTTTGGTCTGACCACACATCTTTCGAATATCGGGAGTCCATTGCATGACAAGATTGATGAGAACTTCTGGGTCGGAAGATCTCAGGGTAACGCAAAGGTGCACACCTCGTCCAAGTTTTCTGACTCAGACTCAGGTCACTTCCATACCCAAGATTTTGTCTTCTTCAACAGTCCGAAAGGCTTGTCAAGGTCATTGACGTTCGCCACTTCGACCAATATCCAGCCCTACAATCTCATGAATTTGCGCAATGCTCTTTGGGTCACTTGAGACACTGCTTTCGTATTCGTAACATTCTCTTCACAGAAGCCAGATCCTCTTGAACTATGAATGAAACGAATCCAATCAAAATCCAGCAACACAGTCTCATGATTTTGCACAATTCTCTTTGGGTCACTTTAGACTCCGCTTCACAGAAAACAGATCTTCTGGCTATGAATGAACCAATTGCAGCGAGACAAGAAAAGTGATTTCCACAGGTTCATATCCGAAATGATGTTTTCATATCAGAAGTTCATTGCTTCGCCGTCCTGTACGTCTTGAAGCGTGTAAAAGGCTCAGGTGCAATTGGAGCTTCGGGGAAAGGTATCAACGTGTCCTTCACATAAACCAAACCCTGTTGTGATTTATGTTGGTAGCTACCAACAGTAGCTTAAATCAAATACAAACTGTACATACAACTTTGCTTCTATTTTGCCGGGCGACTCGGTGTTCTTTGACAACATATCCTGTCCTTTGCAGAGAAAATCTCGCAGAATACACAAAGAAATAACAGTTGGTTCCACCTCTGCTCTTCGATCTCCTGCACGCCAGGAATCTGATACATCTTTGAATCTGACCTGCAGGGCTTCAAAGACCAAGTGTCAGACTGAACTATTACGTCACTTCCTGCAATGCATAGAGGCATCGCCTCGGCTTCCTTATCGAAAGGTAGGGGATAATCAATCTGCCAAGGATAACGTGCAGTGCTTTCTATCATAAAACTTATCGAACACGTGTGAAAGCAGTAGATCCACTGCCTCTAATTTTCATCATAATTCCAATTTGAATTGAATGATATTCGTCCGAGTTTTACTCGTCATCATCAAACTTTACACAATGACCGGACTCTGTAAATCAGCTTCTTCCACGCCAGAGTATTTCAAAGAAGGAAACTTTTAATCATCTGATCACGGCTCCATATGAACATTAAGCTTTCATTTCGCTCAAACAAGATTCAATCATGAATCTTATGATCGAGGTGGGTCATGCGGATGGGAAGCGTGCACCCTATCAGTATGATCAACTTCATGCACCTTTCCAAACCCTTAAGGAACCCAAAGCAGAAACTTTTTGATTTTTCTTGTACGATGAAACTTGCACATATCTGGAGCTCCAATCTAAAGTTTTCATTGATAGCAGTCTATCACAGTGTGGTGTATAAATGTACAATTCTTACAATATCTACATTTCACCTAAATTCTTATGGTAAGACTTTCGAAACTCAGATCTACAACACGCTGGAGCTTCATTTTCACTCCCTATTCTGCCTCAGTTGCAGATTGCAACTGGCAGATACAGTGTCACAATTTCACTAAAGATTTTGTATATACCACAAATCCAAGTCTTCACTCTCGACAGAAATCATCGGACTATCTATACAACTCTCTATATTTCGCAGAAGCACTATCGTGTGTTCTTCCACATGGAGATTGTACCGTGCCATCGATTTGTCGGTCCTTCCGTCCAAAATGAATCGCATGTAACAATTAAAGAATGTATGAAGATCTCACTACGTCAAGTCCCTATGGTTCAGGATTCTCCGGATCCGCCGGTCGAACCAAAATTCCAAGACACGCAAAATTGTTGTTGATCGGTATCAACCCAGGCTGGTCTCGAGCCTGAAAGGGATCTCTCAGTGTATGCATTTACAGCCCGGAGCAACGCTGATTGCTCATTGATGGGAAAAAATTGTAGCCACAATCGAAGTGCTGTGGGCTGCTCGGATGCATGAGATGAGAGGCTGCTGTATGTACAGGGAGGTCGCGGCCACTCACTCAATGCGTGCGGGACAAAATTCACTCCTCCGAGTCAACTTGTCGGACAGACTGCAAATTCCCGTCGACGACCCTGACCACCTCCAGAAACAAATCCGGATCGCAGACGATCGAAACGCCTCCGTCAGCAGCGTACTCTTTGCCGTACTCGTCCTTGGAAACCGTGAGCATGACTTGAAAGAGAGGGTGCGCGAGGAGGCTTCTGCTAATCACATACTTGGCGGTGTGCTCGGCTCTCGCTCCGACGATTACAGTCAAGTACTTGCCCGAATTCGAGAAGGGCAAATTATCGAGCTGCGGGATACAGTGAGTGATCTCCGACGATTTGCCACGTCTCTTAGCTCGGCGAAGCCCGAAAGACCACAGCGATCGCTTGGACGAGGAGCAATTGCTGGAATTACTCGAGCCAGCATCGGAGGACACACCAGAAATGCTGGATCCGGATACCGAACGCGAATTGCAGGACTCGACGGAGCTCCAGGACTCGGTCGACGAATTCAACGACGACGACGAACTCGCCGAGCTGCGATTCGCCGACAGCAGAGTGCTGCGCATGACGAAGGACCACGAAAAATGCACTCCCGACAGCCCGGACGAGAAAAAATGCGGCTTCCTGTACCGAGGCTTCTCGTCTGCTACTGCTGGCAGCGCGCACGACTTGCTCGCCGACATCGTCCTCGATCTATCTCCCTGCCAATCCTTCTCACGATCCTCTCCGAGGTGCCACTCGCCTGCTGCTGTCTACGGGCCTCTGATGCTACCAGCGCCGCGACACGGGACTAACTATAGGCTCGACCCTTGGGCTCTCGACCCGTGGCCAGTCTGCATGAACCCGCGAGTCCTTGGAGCCAGCGCTCGCTCACGCCACTGTGATCCGCAGGTCCGATGATGACGACCGGTCAACTCTGTGTCGCTACATTCTCCACATACGGGCAGAGTATATAAAAGCTCGCGTCCAATGGGCCGCCGGCGGGCCCTCTCTCTCTCTCTCTCTCCCCTTACGACGTACCCTAAAGCAGCTCTACCATCATTCTCGCCAACCACGTAGGTCGGTGGCGGGCCTCGGGCCTTCGCTCCGTTCTTCACATGCGTTTCTCCAGGACTCCATTCTATCCAGCGGTATACGCTTTCCTTTTCTTGTGAGCCCGCCTCGGAACCCTGTGGGCAAAGCCGACCCCCGCGACCGCATGCGGACATGCTTTTCCGAAAAGTGACCTGGTGGCGCCGGTCGTACGCGGGCATGGCAGGCTCCCTGGCTCGCAAAGTGGGCTGCATGTATGCTTGCGGAATGTGTGCACGACCGGTCGCTCCGGGCTCCGGTCAGGCCCCGGGCATGCTTCGCCTGCACTGCATCCCACTGAAGAGGCCGAGCATCCGCGAGCGCATTATGCTCTCGAGGGTGCAGCGAAGTCAATTTTCCCCTTCCCTGCGCCAAACGTGATCGTAAATCGGATCGAGCTTGTCCCGTCTCGGTCACCTTGTGGTACACACAGCTAACCTTTCGCATGCGATGGCCACTGATTGTAGCGCTAGAGTGAAATTTCCCTGGGGGAATCTGCCACGCGGCTCGGTGCCCGTATTCTCTTGCCGAACTTTCTAAGCTGATGCGCGTGGGCTCTCGCACACCAACTGGATGCTGCGTTTCTTAACCTCGAGGCGCCGGGCAGCATGATTGTTCGACCAGAATGATCGCCTGAAAACTGGGCTCAAAGCAGCAGTCACCGCACAGTGAGTATTCCTGTTTCACTCCGCACTTCAGAGCAACACGTAATCTGAAATTCGTCCATCTTCATAATGTATAGTGGCTGTCGTACAGAGGTGAAGATCCCTGGAGTTCAAGCCTGCCTTAAGTTGCGCTCATGACTCTACTGATAGAATTTCTGTCATGGACCCGAAGAAGGAGCAGAAAACTTGAAAATTATCGCTTATACATTCCTGCATATTGGTAATATGATCCCTCTAGCTCTAATTCACTCTCGTGAATTCACTCCAAAGTTATGAAAACAATTTGTTGTTCTTGAGAAGCCCATTATTAAAACATTCAGTATCATTCAGAGGACTATCTTCTAGAACTGCATGCCGGGAAGTTCACGGAAACGATTTTGCATGAGTATGTCTTGCTTAAAAACCCCACCATGTCTTTCAAGCTCATTCTATTATTTCATACATCAACTGAAAGCTTTCTAGCACACCAAGAAGGCTTTGAAAAGAATGTAGTCTGCTACAAAGCCCGGTCTTGAAGCTCAGAGTTTTAGGTGAACTTTAAGAGAGAGAATTCGAGAAAGACGCAGAACAGGAAGTCGAAAAATTCTGCGGGGGACGGCCATTTGCAATATTATACATGCACGAACAGGTGGCTAGAGCGTTCAAAGGGTCGTACATCGATGACAAATTAGCTTTATCAGACATCCGCATTGACGATTTTTTGCAATTGATCCAAGCGAGCGTTGGTGGCTAAACAGAGGGAGACGGCATAAAAGATTTGGATTTCCTGATCCGGTTGACTCCAGTTCACTCTCGAATCCAGACCGGCATTTGTGAAGGAATGAGCGCCGGCGGACACTTTTGTCGACTGGCTGCTTCTTACACAGGGGCTAGTGAAAATTACAACATCCGACTGAGAAAGGTTAGGCCTTGAGACAGAGACAGTGACCTATGCTTAATCGCCCGCCGATCGAAAATCCGACATAATATGAATCTCTGACCTCATATATCCACATCAGTTGCCACTGGAGATTCCATGCCGGGAATTCAGGGAGAAAATGTTTGTCTGTAATGGACCCTCTGAAGTTTATAGCCAACAGTATAGGATTGCATATCCACACAGAAGTTCTTGACTTCCTATTTTGCAGCTTTCTAGAATAAACTCTGTAGAGATTCACATAAAGATCTGAGCTCGAGAGAAAGTAAATAGAAAAGTCTCATTATTTCTGGAGTGCTTGAGAAGCACGTAGCGTGTCTTCGTAACCCAGTCCTTGAAAATCCGCTGAGATGTCACACTGAGATGGCGTTGACTGACTTCACAAATGACCTGATTTGATCAGCTTTGCCTTCATACTGAATTCTTGACCTACCCATATATATTTATCCGTTTGTGGGTTATGTAGGTTAAAGTCTTTGAGACATTTATATACGCTGGTCTTCTTCTAGTGTTCCATCGCCAGTAGTGAAAATTGTCTTTGTAAAGTAGGCTCCCAAGAGTATTATCAGAGATTGGAAGGGGGGCCAAATAATACAGCCGTAGATTCTCATATGCAGATAATTGCAATCAGGATGCTTACGATCACTGCACCAATTTCTGTCCACACTATTTCTGCTGTTGCTCTTTTGACTGTTTCTGCGCTAAGTACATCAATCAGATGACAACACAGGCAAGTAGTTTATCCCAAAGTTTCTTCCTATTGAAAGGAACAGTGGATTTGTTTTTACAAGAAGAAACCAAAAGGATATCTTCAAAGGTACTGTAGACGTGAAAAAGCCTCGGGTGAAATGGACTGTTCGAAGCATGTTTGAGAAAAGAAAGTCCATTTTTTTCTGGAATTCCGGATTCCAATTCCACCTACTGTTAAGCTATCCTTGCTAGGCCTTACGCGGACTCATGTCAGCAATTTTATCATCACTTGTAGAATGTCTAAAGTGGGTGCCTGAATACTGACCAGTCAATGTTCTATCGTTCCACATGTTTGTGAAGCCCTTGTTAAAAGATTTCCACATGATACGCACCGACTGATTCATTCGCATGATAGAGATCGCAGTACTTTGCACTTAGCATTTTGTTCTGCAATCACACACAGAGTAACCCAATCAAATGGTCAGCCTCCTTACTTCGACAAATTACATTTCAGTCCAATGAGCTTTATGTTACTCTCAGACACCAAGACCTCCTGACCATACATTGAATTATTCTCACTCGCACTATAATCCTTCACTTGTTCAAATGGAATTTCATGCATGAACTCATATGCTCTTCTATACTAAAGCATGTTTGGCACGAAGGACCTTCATCTGTCAGTCCTCCTTCGCGACACTAACTGAAGTAAATATTTTTAATCGGGTCAATGTGATAACAGCGAAAATAATCTCTTCTCTACCAGCAGAAATGCTTTCCAGATGTTTGTACGCGACTCATTACATTTGTTAAAAGTGATGTTTTGTGAATGAAGAAATATTTCTGAACATTCATGTGACTTGAAATAGTAATTATTACGTACCGAAACGAAAATCCATGATAATTGTGCTGAAATAGTCATGTTGTATATACTAGAAGACATAGAGGAAGATAGCAGAGATAAGATAACCAGAGCATGACTCTTGTGGGCATTTTAGCTCGTAGACTTTTGTCCTAATCAGCAAAAAATATGCATAAACAAGAAGAGTACCTCCCTCAGTCTATTTATAATCGAAACGACTTATTTTCATTGACTTTAAAGTAAGAAGGAGGCTTTGTTTGTCCATGTTCAACGCTCATGTAGATATCAACTGTTCTAACAAGTCTACTCAGACTGGACATGCTAAACGACAATCAGTTGCTAGCTTTCTGCACAAGGCTTGGATACGATAAATCCCAAAAGTTTAGAAAGTGTTCAACAACTGTTGAAGAATTTTATCTCCATGCAGCAATTACCATCTATAATCTTCTTCTAAAACAAGTAAATGGTGGATGATCTAGGATGATACTCTGCAAATTCAAAATATCTGCTAATTAAATGTAAAATGATAGAGAAAGATAATTGTTTTCTCATCCTTTCTGTAATATTTGCAACATGAAGGGTACATTTTCTTTCCCGTTACGAGGATTTAGCTAATTCTAGCACCTCCTGTGCTATGTTCTAAATGAAATAGCTGAAACTTACAGTGGTGTATTTTCTAATTCTTCTTATAAAGTATCACAAATTTCTTTTCTGTTTTTAATGATATCTTTTGTTTCTACTATTTGTAGTTTTCCAGTATGCCAGATGTGCAGTTGATGAATCAGTAGACTTCTATATATCATCTTTATTTTACTGACATAAATTAATCCTCCTGTCAACGAAAAACGTGAAATACCCGTAGATAGTGTGCTATGAAAAAGAACCAGCTAGATAATCTAAAAATCTACCACAAACAAACGTTATTTTTTAAGAAGTTTAAAAAGATCTCAAGTATGATGGTGAGATATACAAAGTTTAGCAAATTGAATATCTAAGACATTGGATGTCAAAAAAATTACATATATGTTTGATGTATAAATATTCGTTGAATTATCATAACTTGTATGAATAATATAAAAACCTATTAAAATAATCTATTATCAATAAAATCGTTAAAACAATTATCAGAATATATTAAATTATTTTAAATGTCAAAAATAATATTCTAAATAAAAAAGGAGTCCCTTTTTATTTAGAATATTATTTTTTAATTCAAAATATGTAGAATTAAAAGGATAATTTGAGATAAATAAATAAATAAATAAATAAATATTTCATTAACTTGAATCAAACTATTGGCAGACTATAGATGCAAATATGTGAATGGTCATTTGTAAATAAGCCATTATAACATGACAGGGCATAAAGAACGTGATATTTTAGAATAACACAACAATATATTGATATCAATTTTTACATGATAATTTTGTATACATGTTACATTTATAAATGTATTAATTTAAATTAATTTCATTCAAAATGACAAGAAATATATCTTTCATACAACTATATTATTATCATTTATTATCATATATAACATGATTCATAGAAAATAGACACAAACACGAATAGAAATCAAATGAATAGAAATAGTACATCAAAGAATTGGAAAGCAATTTTCAGTTTAAAAAAAATATAAAGATATATATTCTGTTTGAAAAATTCAAAAAAATTGAATTATGTTAGAACCAGAAACATGGAAAATTTGATAGAT